TCAAAAATGGTAAAATGATATTATATAATATTAAATAATAAATCCACAAATAAAATAGTGAAGAATGATGGACACACATACAAATTAATAAATCGAATTATTAAATTAATAATTTTCAATAAAAAAAACTCATTATTTTATATTTATATAATGTATTTGTGACGCTAAAACGCAGCCTATGGATATCATTCAGCTAATTGTGATAGTCGCAATAACAGAGGTAGTSTTGGGTGGTAGTTGCGAAAATAGCCATAGTCTCGTATAACAGGAAACTACCATTTTGGTAGTCTTAGATAACAGAATTGTGATGTCGTCAAAAAATAAGGTAGTCTCGCATAACAGGAAAGTACCGATTTGATTAATATGGAATTTATTGTATAGGTACCTACATATTTTTTGAAATAATATAAATATAATTAATATAGTACAAAACTGTTAAACATCCTAGACTGACAAACCGTCTGAACACAGAATGGTTTATCAATAAAATGATATTATATCATTGAATTCAAATTTCATACTATTCGTTTACAGTAACTCTAAACTACTAAACTCTAAACTGTAAACTACTGTATATCAGAGTGAAATCCACCCCTACATCCACATACTCACTTCTTATTGTATTATATTCTTTTTTTGAAAATATACATGAACAATGTGCACAGGTTATTTTTATAAGCATACTTTTTTTAGCACACATTAAACTATCCCTTCCAATAGTTGTCATGATATTTGCGACCTACTAAAAGCTAACCTCAATGTTGAAGAGCAAATATTTTACTTTAAAATGTATTATTTAAAATATTTTTATTTGTTTTCATATAAATTATTACAATATGTATTTTTTTTCATCTTTAGAACAAATCAAATTAGGAATGGTTGTTATTTTATGATAACTGCACACTGCACAGTACTTACCTATTTAATCAACTGAATATCATCAATTTTGTCATCTACAACTGCATATGCATTTAATAGAAGTTTATATTTTAATGTACTTAGTTATATTAATAAGCAAGCAAAACATATATTTTAATTATGTAATTGTTTTAACCATGAATGCCTGTTGATTATTAAGTATTCATATTCAGTGTTCATGGTATTAAAATATTTTTGGCTAAATCAAAGCCAATCCAAATATTGCTCAGTCTACAGTGGGTAACTTAGTTAATTTCAATGCTTTATCATGATCACAATCACAATATCCTAACATAAACATTGTAATAAATTAAAAAGACAAAATTTATTTATATTAATAATTGGACACTATAAATTATTGAATGGTTTCAATCAAGATTTCATACCAATATTTTATATAATTAGCATTCAACCAATATTATGATGGAAGTCAGAAATCAAAAAAACTTACCCGATTATAATGGAATTGGAATAGTTAAGATTACGACCAAACTGTCGACAATGGAAAATCACGACCAACTGGTACAATTAATGTGCATGATAATCACAGAACGAAATTATTCATGAAATGCATATGAATGAGTAAATCTACATTTCCAAAATTAAAAAACAAAATATTTTGGATAAAACTATTAGCACTTCATTAGTTATTACCACCATCGATAATAATAATTTAACCGCGATTTTCAATATGACAACATTTGAAATTACCTATAATGGTAAACACAATTTAAGATATTATCTTAAATCGTGATGGTAAATTTTATTTATGTTAGATCGTGAAGACGTGAACTAATACAAAATAAGTATATTATCTTAGTTTAAGGTTGTGGATTATATTCATGATAGTAATATCTTTATCACCATGAGCAATTATCATGAATCATTATCATCCGAATTCGTTATGATATAGCAGCAGCAGCTGATGACGGCATTTCTCAATTTTTTGTGATAATATTACGATATAGTTTTTTTTTGATTAAATGGTCGTGTTTTCATATTGTGACAAATTGCAATTGTATTGGGTATGAGTGAATTTACTTAAATATTAATGCACTGACGCATTTTTTTTATTTATTGTTAAATGTCTCGTTTCACACGCTTGTATTGTGATTTTGCGTTTCGTTACCATCCTCATGATTTTATTTTTTTTAATTTCAGATTTTCAACATGTGGAAAGCACTATAAAATACACYATTAAGTATCAACTACTTCAAGTAGTAGTCAACATTTATTGATGYGTGTGTCTAYTCATTGAATACAGGTATTGTTTCTTTAAAACTTATATTACAGTGGTGCAACTTGATAATAAGGGGCCCATCTGAAAAATTCCTGACTCTATTAAAAATGAAAAACAGTCGATTATTATAACTTTAAAGATTTTGTTTCCTCTTATTTTATAGTAATTATTACTTATATAAATTATTTCTTAAGAACTAATATAGTATAAGTTAATTCTTCTTGTTTGTACAATAGTGGTCATTTATAATTTTGTTTGTATCTAATTAGGTTGTTACTGAAGACCATCTAAGAGATATCGATAGTCAGGGCCACCCAAAGTCGGGGGCCCTTGTGAATTGCATACCCAATATACCCAAAGATTGTGCCACTGATCTGTTGACTTAAAACTAAAATTTACTATTTAAGACAAACCATGTGATAATATCGATTGGTTCGTTATCAATATTGTTATGGTTGAACCTATCCTTGGGATTGAGGACTACTCAATATATTAAATTGATAGATTACATAAATATATATATATATATAATTGTTCTGTCCTACATTCCTGTTTACTATTCTAAAAATTAATTACATTTTGCAATTCATTTACAAACAATCTTTTTTATTTCCACTATAAAAACAGTCTTATATTTAATAGTATCTAACAGTGGCGCTGAACTATATTTTAAAAGRGGGGCAAGTAAAATGTTATATGGACCACCACCCCTGTTTTTAAAATAAAACGCGGGGGCTTAGCCTCTCACACCCCCCATGCAAGTATTCAACAATCTAAAGTCACTTTGTAGACTAATACTTTTAAATTATTCATGATACCACTTTTTCAACCACAATCACACATAGTAAGCACTGTTCATAGTTCAAACAACTTTATACAATTTTTTAACTGCAATATTTAGTAGCACAAGTGTAACTAGCTCAAATATTTTGGGGAGGCTTATTTTTACTCTATTTTCATTTTCATTTTATAATTCCTAATGAGTGTTCACAACTAGTTTCATGATTTAAAATATAAATGTAAATATAATTACAAATATAAAGTCAAATGTATTAATTTATAATTTACCAAGTTTTTTTTAAACAGCCAAAACAAGTATAACATATTTTATACGTATCTACATGGCTACATACCTGAAATACTTTTTACTTATTACTTAACTTAAATAATTTGATTATTATTTATTAGTACCAAATACCAATGCAGGTAGTGTGTATGTTATTCATGAGTTATTTCATATTAATAAATTGTCAGCCAACTTTACTCACTAACTCAGGCTAGTTGTTTATCCTTATGATCCTATTCGCTATTCCTTACGGCCTGCTACAGTGCTGCATATGTATACAAATACCATATGTCCATATATATTAATAGCTTAGGAGTTAGGAGTTAGTTAACATAATTCATAAATAGTTTGTTGGGGTACCCACAGACCCCTACGACCCCACCCACCAAAGAAAGTGTAGCGGTCGCCCCTCTTGGGTTATAGGTTTGGCGCCACTGGTATCTAATCTTTTTTTGTATACATTTTATAAACAGAGCTTTCTAATAACATATGCAATATTTTTATTAGCAAAGTCAAGAACAACAAACAAATTCCTCAATACAATAAAATGCCTAGCAAAAAGAGGAAGTACAACGCTAGATTTCCAGCCGTAAGTAAAAATTCTTTCTTTGAGATTAACTATCGTTTGTTGATAAGTTATAATTTTTTTACTGAGAGCTATTCAAATACCTTTAAATTATGGTTGGTTCTCTACCACTAACTGTTAAAAAAATATATTTTCATCCTGAAAAAACTTAACTACTCCAACTTTTACTAAATAATGAAATATTTAGATTTTTTTATTCAAACTGTTTATATTTTAATAATTTTATTATTTAAATACCTTTTTTTTACTTAGGGAAGGATCAAAAAAATTATGAGAATTGATGATGAAATTGGTAAAGTTGCATTACCAGTTCCAGTTATGATTTATATCCTTTTTGTAATACTTATTTCAAAAATAATATACAAGGTAAAAAATTGTATCTATTTTTAATATTAATTTAGATATTTCTTATATTTTATAATACTCTATGGCATATAATTTACTGTACCAGTGACGGCTTGAACTTTTTTTCCCTCGAATCATGTTTAATACTTTTACACCACCCACCCTTAAATTAGGGCTCAATAGTATATTCATAAGTTTTTAGTGATTAATTAATAATAGGTATTTAATTGGTATCCAAAATAAATCATAGAAGCCCTGAATTACCTCTATACCAAGTTTACTATTCTTATGACAAATAAATAAATTGTGATTTTTTTCAACTGTAAACTTTAATAAAAATTTCAAATTAATTAATTTTCTGGTCATAATTACACAAACTATTTAATGCAAATTTTAAAAATTGAGTAAATATCATAAAATTAGGTATTGTGAATATGTTAAACTATCATTATTCTCATGAAATAAAAAAGTTAACTTGGTAATGTTCACTTAATTTTAATTATTTGTAAAATCAGACCAAAATAAAAATTATCAGAAAATTGTATTTATTTAAAAATTTAACTAAAAAGAATATTTATTTTATTTTAGATTCTGAGCATTTTTCTATTAATCTTAATGAGATACAATTAGATTTCTTATAAAATGAAAGTAAATAACTAAATCTATTGTAAAAATTACTATTTATTTTTATCTAAACATAAGGTGTGAGTTTAGTAAATCTGAAGAACAACCAAACTTATTTATAGCCTCTACAATATTAATGTCTTTATCATTTTTACAACTCATGTGAATAAGACTTTCTAGTCGTTTTTCACCCATTGTTGAGCATAGTCTTATCTTCACTAATTTTACCTTAGAATAAATTAAATGGTAAGTTATTAATTATAAATAATCATTATTGGTAATTTTTAGTAATTAAAATAAACATTTTTACATTRCTGTTATAAAATATTTAAAAATTAATAATAAACCTAGAAAAGCTTCGTTTGCTGACGCRAAGATGCTGGCAATATTCCCAATGCTTTGTAAACTAGATATAAATTTGGGAACACAGATACTAAATTAAAACTTGTTAATACATGTAAAATACTGGATACAGTCATAGTATTTTTGTAACATAATAATTTAGTTTGATTATGTTCATTTTCAGATTCACTGATTTCCTTATGAATATTGTCTGGTAATTTATTTCCATCATGCAAAGATGTTACACTTGTACTAAAAACTTTGTATTCATTTTTTAAATTTTCCAAATRCACACCGTCAATCCATTCTGTAACATAGTTAAAGCAGTTTTTAGGTAATTCTTGCTCAGTATTTTATCAAAACACAAATAAACACTCAGGTGAAAATAAATATAAGTCTTATAAAATATTTTGAGCACCACTGAATCTTGAAGTAATAGATCTTATGATTTTATCTAAAACCATAWAATATGTATTTATAGTTTTCAAATGGTGAATTTAAATTTACTTCTTCACTATTTTCATCAATTTACCTCTTCCGGATTTTTAATTTTATAGTTTTGAAATCTTTTTCAGGTAGATTATGTAGATTATGTGTTTCACAGAATTGTTTGGCTTCAACTATAATTTTTTTTTATATTTGATATCAAAGCTCATAGAAAATACATTTTCTTTAGCATTATTCATAAGTCTTAATGCCTCCATAAATAGTCTAGTAATTTTGACTGCAAATAATTGGAGAGTGATGTGGTGATTAAAAAGACAATTTTCATAAAAATATAATGTCACTACAAAAGTAAATGTCGAGCAAATACTTTTAATAATACTTGCATTTGAAGACATTACTCTATCATTKAAAGATTCCAAAATAATTAGAGATTTTAATAATGTATTATATCGTTCGTATACAACATTAATTACCCAATCATGAGATGTCTATCTCGTATTTGAAAAACTTTTATATAACAAATCCTTTCTTTTGGATATAAATTTGACTGACATTCAATAAATACAGTAGTCTTTTTCCTAACTCTCATAAATTCAATAACTGATTGTAAGTGACCAAAACAAGTTTTTGTATCAGTACAAGAGTCACACGTATCAACCACAACTATATTTAATAAAAGCAACCATACATAAATTGTCTTTGAGTTTTCATGTTGAATAAATGTCCTGTGCACATAAGTTTTTCTTCCAATCAATGTTATGCTTTTCAGTTATTTCACAAAACTTTTTGAATAATCCTTATCCAGTCCCATCAGCAGCAGCCTCTAATGCTACAAGCCTTTTTTCAATATCACCATGCATATTGACAAATCTTATTAATAAATAAGAACTGCTCAATATTAGCAATATCAGTGGTTGTGTCGATAATGACTGATAATAATCCAGCTTTTTTAATTTTGGTTAAAATTGAAAATCTTACCAATTCTCCCAATATTTTAAGAATTTTATTTTGACTTATTTGAGATAAAAAACTAAGACAATTTAGTTTCTTTTTTTAAAATTTATCCAAGTATATTTTTACAACAGCATTATGATGACTAAGAAGCTCAACTAATTCTAAAAAATTACCTCTATTATTTGAAGTCAGCTGTAGCTCGTATAAAGAAAAAATTAATTGTACAACCACAGAATATTCTGTGGTATCGTGATAAAACTATTGACATTATTATATGGTACACAATTTTACTATATTTTATGGTAAAACATAATTAAATTATTTATTTATTTATCTGTCATTGCTTCAGAATGTTGATTTCAATTTTTTTATAATACATAATACTAAAAATACAATATCTTTTTAAAAATTATTTACAAATGTTTTAAAATAGCTTGTTTTCTATTTTTCCGTTTCGTTTCAGACAACATAGACCTATTTAAAAATCTAATTGCAGTAAAACTTCTAAAACGTATAAATAAATCTATTAAAAATTGATTGTCAAATAATACACAAAGATGACTAAAACGTACATTACAGAGTAAATATTTAATTGTAGGCCCGATGTTATCATTAGTTGCAATAGAAGGAAAGTTTTCAACAAAAATATCTTCTGATTTAATAACGTAAATATAGAATTCATCATGAGGCATTAATAGTTTACCAAAATTGGAAAAGTCATTTGTAGAATAAGATTTAAAGAAAGCTAAGAGAAATCATTAGAAAATCTATGAAATTTGGTTTCAATTTATTTTTTCCCAAAGAAAATACTACTGCAAGTCAACAAACAACATGTATGGCCACCTGAATACATTATTGTAAAACAATTACGATAAAAAAATAAAAAATGATTTACTCAGTGACAGTATAAAAACAAAAAGAGCAATATCTGATGTAAGTTACAAATAACAAGTGCATAAGGGAAAAAGCAAAAACCATATTGTATTGTAAATTGTAATTGTATACGATTACAACAATGATAACATAAAAAAATGCGTAGAATCAGTTTCAGCAGCATAAGAGAATTTTTAATTATTTTCTAATCGTGGCTACACTGATATCTCAAACATTTTATACTGATTTTTGAGTTCTCATAAAGTGATACTTCTGGTTATTCTGTGGTATTGACCYACACAATTTGAAGAACAACCACAACAAGTCAACAACAACAACTATAATAATAATAATACCAGGGGTATGACACCATAGATCAGCGGTTTTCAAACTGTGGTATGCGTACCACTATAGTGGTACGCGAAAGACTCCGTGGTGGTACGCGAAAGGCTGCATGATGTTAGGATGGAAAATTAAAAACAAATATTAGATTCTTGGCGTAGCAATGACTTTACAATGTCTTGTGTTTTTTTTAATATTCAGATAATAAAGGTTAGATTTCACGGAAAATACGTCAATAAATAAGATATCGTATAGGTATAATCGTTGATATTGTCGATATTTTTAATCATACGCGACTGATTGATAATATACTTAAGTGGTACGCGAAAAAACAAGTTTGAGAACCGCTGCCATAGATAATACATAATGGATAGGCCCTGTGTATACTAGTTACCAGGGTTGGGATTTTATAGCACTTAAAATTGCATATATATGCGCTATAATATAACATTATATGCTAAATATGCAATAAAAACAACAAAATATGCACAAAAAAAGGAATTTATTAATTAATAATGTTTTCATCAATGAAGGTAAAGAGATTGGTTTAAAGATAAATGAGTCAAAAACAAAGTATATGATACTATCGAGAAGAAATCACAATATTAGCTATTTAAAAGTTGATGATTACAAATTTGAAAGGGTACAGAGCTTCAAATATCTGGGCACAGAGATCAATGAAAGTGCTAATAGCCACGAAGAAGTTAAAAAACGAATTACAGCAGCAAATARATGCTACTATAGTCTAATGCCACTTTTCAAATCAAGATTACTATCAATAAATTCTAAAATAACGTTATACAAAGTCATAGTCAAACYGGTTGCCCTGTATGCATRTAGTACATGGGCCACGACAAAATCGGACGAAGGAAAGTTAGGAGTTTTCGAAAGAAAGATATTAAGGAAAATCTTCGGTCCAAAGAGAAATAACGATGGAGAATATGAGGTGAGWGGCAACAGGGAATTGTATGATYTATACAAGGRACCTACAATTGTTGGGTCCCTGAAGAGTACGAGGATAAGTTRGGCAGGACATGTATGGAGGTCAGAGGGAATGATTGGATCAATAACTAAATGGAAACCCGACACTAAGAGGCCTCGAGGACGCCCCAGACAAAGATGGGTGGATAGAGTAAAGGTAGACTTGAAACTCCTGAACGTAAGAAACGCAGAAGAATGTGCAAATGTTAGAGAAGAATGGAAACAATATGTTGTTGCGGCGATGGGCCTTAAGGGCCTGTAAAAGCCCAGAAAGAAGAAAGAAGAAGAAGAATGTTTTCATCACTTACAAATTATTCATATTCAATAATTTAAAAAATTTAAAATTAATTAACTATACAACGTATTCAACGCTTGTTCGTTGATCATCRGCGATTAACAATCGCAGTAGATAGTAAT